TACATTTTTTTTATTCTTTTTTTTTTTACATCTCTTCTTAATTAAAAAATGAATGCTTTTATTCAAAAGAAAGGTCACAGTGTTATAAGCTCTGCCTCCTTTGAGCATAAATGATCATGGTCTGACATAAAAGTAGCACCAGCTTAGGCGGGTATTTCAGATATCCTTGTCCCCAGCATCACTTTCCAGTTCCTCCTGGGAAATCCCGAGGAGTTTCCAGTCCAGGAGGGATTATATATCTCGACTCTCGACAGTCGAGATATATAATCTGTACTGTGGTTTCTGGGTCTACCCGAGGGTCTGCTTCTCAAATGTAATCCACACTTTCAGCTTAAGAATTACAGCCATTTTTACACACACTCCTCCATTTCCAGAGGTTCAAGTAGTGACAAGCAGTTTGATGGCCAGGTGAGGCATGCTTCTTTGTTAATTCATGACAAACAAAGCAGACATAATATCTCAAGTTGATTCAAAGAGTTGGATTTGTATCGTTGGGTTTTCTCCCACAATGCATCCTACTCAGTCGCCTTTTGATTGAAAGTGGGCGCCACGCAGGCAACACAGTTGGTCTGCAACTATTTGCAATCGGTCCACCAGCTAAAAAATTGAATGCAGCCTTTTTTCCTAGTTGCAAGGAGAGGAGCCTACCGTCGCATTTTAACTCTAGTGTGAATGAGTGATGAAGTCGTCACATTTTGGAAAAACTTTGTTTTATTTAAGCTTAAAACATTGAAAAGAGGAAAGTTGTACTGAAACAGCAGAACAACATGTTCCATTGAGTTGTCTGCAGACTGTTTGAGTGCACAATTTCAGGTTTTAACATGCATTATTTACATTTCCCCTGAATCTTACCTACATTATCCACCTGTACCCACATAAACATCAACCTTTCCTCCAATCCTGTCCGCTCACAGAGACATAGCAGTTCGGAATATATTAGTCGCCAGTCCGGACTGTGTGAAGCTTGGAGACTTTGGTCTATCAAGGTACATAGAGGATGAAGAATACTACAAAGGTAAAAGAGACACTCTTGAACTAACACAAATGTTTCATGCAATAAACATAAAATATCAGCTAGATTTATAAAATACTTTAACTGTAAACGCTTCTGTTATGTTTTTCCTATATTTTGATCTTGTTCACATTATTGTTTTAAGTCATGTAATAATTTTGATCAGAATTTTCGATTAAAGGATCTATACAGTTAAACCACAGTCTGTTATGTCTCCTTGTCAATAGAAAAATAAAAGAATATTTAAAACAAATACACAAATTAATCAACTTATTTGGAAAAATCTTTAAAAACCATGGCTTTGACTATCTTGACTATAATACAGTGTGCTAATTTCTTTGCAGCATCTGTGACCCGATTACCAATCAAGTGGATGGCCCCAGAATCCATTAATTTCAGGCGTTTTACCTCAGCTAGTGATGTGTGGATGTTTGGTGAGCTTGTTACGCATTTACCTTCAACAGCACGGTGACATATTGAGGGTTTGGTGCACAAGAGACTAAGAAACACTCGCACATAGAAAAAGGTCAGGTTACTGGTTAATAATCAACCGAAACAAGGGCTACACAGTTTTATGACGAGGCAGGGATTATTTAAGCTGATATG